CTTCTTTCTCGTTACAAGTCTTTTTTTCTTCTTCCCTTTCTTTCTCTCTCTCTTTCTAGTTCTCACACGCACACGCGCGCGCTCGCACGCTCGGTAACATCCCGCGTGCACGCACGGTGCACACAGACAGCTAACTCTATATTACTCCTTCTCTCTCCCTTTCTCACCCTCTTTCTCTCGCTCTCGCTCTCTCTCTCTCTCTCGCTCTTTCTCTCTCTCGCTCTCGCTCTCTCTCTCTCTCACTCGCTCGTTCGCGCACGTACACGAAATCCGTCTCACATTCGCACACTTGGTGAACTCGCTGATACGAACGCTTAGATGTCGGACAGGAGGAAAGACCACGCACCACACGCACGCGTTTCAAACGCGTTCCCACTGTCACAACACACTATCTCCGCGTTGAATCGACGGTGATGGTTAGACTCCGGCTACGTGAAAGAACACCGATCACTATAAAGCTCGTACTTGCCCGTGTTCGCTTACTCGCATCGCGGAACGTTGCGTTTCCTTATCTTTTTTTTCTCCTTCACGCGCGTAACACCAGCGCGTAGAACACACCGCGGCAGGCTTAGCTTCAGTTCCCCGTGAATATACGTACGTACGTTATACTTGGGATGCGGTCTACTCGACGCTACGCTCGACCGTTCGTTAGCTCCGTGAGTAGGTACGGCGGCGGGCAGAGGAGGCGAGCGGGCGGGTGGGTAGGGGAGGGCGCTCTCTCTCTCCCCCTCTAGCTCTTTCTTTTTCCCTCTGCCTCCCCACCATCGACGACGAGGAGCAACGACGTCGAACGCTCACGCTCGCTCCGTCTCTCTTTCTCTCACGCCTTCTTTTTCTCTCTCTTTCTCCTTCTCTCCCTCTCTGTCTTTTTCTCCGTCTCTTTGTCTCTATCTAGCCCGTCTCGCTCTCTCCTTCTCTCTCTTCCCCTATACCGTCCCGCGGCGAAACTCGCTTGCTCGACGATGGTTCCTTCTTTCAGCGGCGGCGGCGGCGGTGGCGGCGCCGACGCAAGGATACGGGTGTACACACCGCGTCCTTGATACAATGTCGGGGAACAGGAGCAGCAGCAGCAGCAGCAGCAGCAACAGCGTATTCCAATGATGACGGGTTCTCTGCGGCGCTTAAAGCGCGACGCAGGGGGACGCGTCACGCGCGCGTCCGCGGGACGCCGGTACTCCGGTTCGGCGCGTTATAAACACGCACTCCGGCTCTCCGTTCTCAACTCAGCTTGATTTGGTTTGATTCGGTTCGATTTGGCGCGACGCGACGCGACGTGGAGCGTAAGCGACGCCGGCACGTCCGACGAGCACGCCGCTGCGACGATGTCACGATGGTGGGCAATAGAGTGGTGGTATTAGTAGTAACAGCCGGCTGTCTGTAATAGTAGTAGTACAGCGATAGCTTTTTCACATTGAAGAGAAGCGTACGCGCGCGCGAGACTCGCTTCTCTCTCGCCTCTACTGCGACTCACTATACGCGACGTCGCACACACAGAGGGCGAACCTGACGAGAGAACAGACCGCCTGGACGCGCTCGTACGATCTCTCTCTCTTCCTCTCTTTTCCCCGTATATCTGTCTGTCTTTCTTTCTCTCTCTCTTTCTCTGTCTTCCATGCAGTTCTCCCCCATGTCCCCCTCGAGCCGGGTGTCTCGTTCGTTCGCTCTGTCCTTCTTTCTCTCTCTCCCTCTCTCTTTCTTTCTCGTTCTCGTTCTCTCGCACCCGTACCCAGTTTAGCCTTCCTTCCAGCGGACGCCGGCAAACTCTCGCGACGTTGCCAGGCACGCTTTCACCCGCCCGCTCACAAAGGAGAACCTAAGCGCGCCGGCCATTCCCGCCGGTGGGGATGGCGGGAGTCTACCGCCGTCGTGCTATAGGCAACGTCGCTTTCTCCTCTTCCGTTCTCTCTCCGTTCGTAGAGAATTCGAGAGAGCCGCGCGCGCGACTCGCCGTACAGTCCCTCCGGTAAGATATGAGAGGTGGGGTGGGGTGAGGGAGAAGGGGGCGGGGAAGGGGGGATCGAGGCGCAGAAACGACTGCGAACCCTTCTCTACCCTTGAAACTCGAGGTCAACTTTTAGGCAGAGAAAGAGAAGCACGCGGAAAGACGTGGAAAAAAAGAAAGAGACGCACCTATTCCCGCGACCGACTGGCTGACTCCACGACGTCGTCATCATTGCGTGCTCTTTCTTCTCTGTTGCCTCTCTCCTTTTTTTTTATCCTTAGTTTCGCTACACCGCTACGCTCTCGCTAGCTCGCTGGAATTTGCCCCACATCGGACGGACAACGCTTCCTGCTTTTCACGCCCGCTGCTTTACGCCCTTTTTCCCGCTCATCGTAACGTACGCGCGAGGACGAAGACGAGGACGCGTGCCCCGCTATCTTTACCGACCGGCGAGACGACGGGCCGCTCTCTTCGTCGGTCGATACGGAAGAACCTTCGGAAGAACGATGAAATTTCACATTCTGCAAATGGAATGTGCCCCCGAGGATCCACCACGCGAAGCCCCGATTCATGCACGCGTAAACGATTCCGAGGCTGGATTTATTGTACAAGGCGTCATTACGCGCCATCTTGAAAGAAATACCTTTATGACAAGCGCATCAAGTTGTAATAATTTCTCTGACACGATCACGCCTTAATAGTCGAAAGAACACGCGAAAAAGAAAAGTAACTATTTTGATACTTAACGTCAATGAACGGTCAAATTTTGTAACCAAAAATCATCATTTTGACCTTCATGACGTCATGATGAAGTCATTTTGACTTTCACTTGACTCGATGCGTTCTACCATTTCATGCGAACGTTCGCTGTACCGATCAGAATAAAATTCCTTCTTCGAATTAGCTAATAATTTTTCGATGGAAAACATAAGTCGCATTATAACTCAGAAGAACGTTCGCGTACGAGAGTTCATTTCTTTCTTCATATATATATAACCCCTTATTATCTCTTTATCGATATACAACCGCAGGAATGTGACGCTCTTGCAATATATCCCTTGGCAGTCGCGTTTCTTTTTTTTTCCCTCGCGAGTGAAGTCGCGAATTGGAATTCGCGCGAACCGGATGGAGAAGTCCCGACCGATCAACGCTCGGGGGAATGGCCGAAATTTTTCCTGACCACCTCTTCTTCAAAGCGCGCGCTCGCGCGCGATGTTCTTTCCTTTTTTTCTCTTTTCTTTTTTTTTCTACTTTTCTCTGTCTCCGATAGCGCGCCAAGAAGATGAAATGAAAATGTATATCGCGGGACCTGTGCGTCGGACCTGTCCTCCCGTCCCTCCCGCTACTCCGCGTTACCTCCTCCACCCAACCCCCCCTCTCTCTCTTCCCCCCTTGGCAACCCTTGCCATCGTGAGGCGGCGGGTGAGTCGGTGCGGGTAACCCGGCGCGAATCGAAGAGAGAGGAGAAGAGAACCGGGTCCGGGTCAATAAGACGCGCGAGCGAGAGAGACGGGGTGATCGAGAGAGACAGAGGCCATGGAGAGGCAGCGGCGTTGTTGAGGTTAGGGGGGAAAGGAATGGGAAGCGGGAGAAGCGGAGGGGAGGAGTTGGGGTACGCGGGCGTGTGAGAGAGAAAGAGAGGCGGGAGAACAGGCAGCGTGAGAAAGACGAAGAGGGACAAAGCCATCGCGCATTCCCAGGGCCCAGCATTGGCAACCTAACGAACGTACGTATGGAAACGTACGAAAATATTGAAATTAGCATATTTCTAACGGGACGGAACGAGAAGAACTGAAGAAAATGCGCAATATACAGGAAAGATATTGCCGAGAGACAAGGCAACGCGGAATAGAAACTGAATGAGAAATTTCAATTCCCCAATCATGTTGGTACGGCCCAAAGACGGCCCCGAACCGGACCGGCCTGATTCTACGCGGAATGTACACCTTCGTATCGCGTCCGAAAATACGCTCGACGTGTAGCTTCAAAAAATACGAAATATTCCATACGAGATGTGACCTCGAGAGATCAATGTTTAATTATGTTCAGCGGACCCCTGGCGAAAATAAAAATCGGAGCGTAAGTCGAGTGTAAGAGGAGAGTAACAGAAGCGTAAATGAAGTTTCTAGGAGGCGAAAATTGGAGAGCGTAAACGGCTCTTTTACGCTTCTGTTACTCTCCCCTTACATTTGACTTACGTTCCGATTTTTATTTTCACCAGGGACGCCACGCGTTACGAAAATCTGAATAATGTTGGCAACATAGATTCTATCTCGTCGATATGTATCCGCGACAAAGTTTTGCCTCGGTCCTTGGGAGGAGTCGAAAGAAGAATCTCCTACAGCTTATAACTTTCTTACACTAGCCTAAGTATCTCGCCGTTAGGATTTCGAAAGACCCCGATCCGTTAGGTAAACGGGGGAGAGAAGGGCGCCCTAGGCGCGCATCCGATTCCCACGATTTAGCGTACACCTTGGAATAT